TTTGATCTCGCATTCAAGATCGAGGGAGAGAGCAAGGAAAGGGATCATGTGGAGGTTGAAGTTGTCGGAAGGAGAAGAAGAGAGTGTGAATGAACATATTGGAAGACAGTTTTGGGAGTATGATTACCATTTTGGAACCTCCCAAGAGAGACTTCACATCTCCCATCTTCGCGCCAACTTTACTCTCAATCGCTTTTCTTCTACTCATAGTTCTGATCTTCTCTACCGTTTTCAGGTACTATTATCTTCCTTTCAAATTATCATTTGTAAAATTGATGTTACTGATCTATCTTGTTGAAAAAATCTCAAGTGTTGGATTTGATCTGAAAACATAAAGTTGAATTTAGTGTTTGAAAGAGAAAGGAAGAGGAAGGGAGATGCTTCCGCAAGTGATAGTGAATGATGAAGAAGAAGGAGAGATAAATTTAGAAGTTGTGAATGTCACACTCAGAAGAAGTTTGAGATTCTACTCAACACTACAATCACAAGATGGCTTTTGGCCTGGTGACTATGGTGGCCCTTTGTTTCTCTTGCCTGCTCTGGTTATAGGCTTATATGCGACGGAAGTTCTGGACGCAACTTTAACTGCTCAACATCAAATCGAGATTCGTCGTTATCTCTATAACCATCAGGTAAATTCATACCAAAAAAACATATTGGGTCTTGTTTTAGAGAACCAATCCTTTTGTTTGAGGTGACGTGTTTGTAAAGAAATCCAATGACAAAAAAGCCCTAACTTGCACAAGATATCGAATATTGTTTTAGAGAACCAATCATTTTGTTTGAGTGACGTGTTTGTAAAGAAATCCAATGACAAAAAAGCCCTAACGTGCACAAGATATCTTGTTTTAGAAAACCAATCATTTTGTTTGAGTGACGTGTTTGTAAAGAAATCCAATGACAAAAAAAGCCCTAACTTGCACAAGATATCATGTTTTAGAGAACCAATCATTTTGTTTGAGTGACGTGTTTGTAAAGAAATCCAATGACAAAAAAAGCCCTAACTTGCACAAGATATTGAATCTTGTTTTAGAGAACCAATCATTTTGTTTGAGTGACGTGTTTGTAAGGAAATCCAATGACAAAAAAGCCCTAACGTGCACAAGAAATACCGTGCAGAATAAGGATGGAGGATGGGGACTACACATAGAAGGGAGTAGCACCATTTTCTGTACGGTTCTCTCATACGTAGCACTGAGATTGATGGGTGAAGAAATGGACGGTAGAGATGGAGCCATGGAAATCGCTAGACGTTGGATTCACCACCGTGGTGGCGCCACTTTTATTCCCTCTTGGGGCAAGCTNTGGCTCTCAGTACGTTCAACAACAGACACTATATATCTTGCACTTTGTTTTGCGACGAATCGATGAGTTGATGAATTTTGTGAGGTTATGATTGAAACAGGTTCTTGGTGTTTATGAATGGAGTGGGAACAATCCTTTACCTCCAGAGCTATGGCTTCTTCCTTATACTCTTCCGTTTCATCCAGGCCGAATGTGGTGCCATTGCAGGATGGTTTATCTTCCAATGTCATATCTATACGGCAAAAGATTTGTTTCTCGCATCAATGGAACTATCATGTCTCTTCGAAGAGAGCTCTACACTATTCCTTATCACCATATCGATTGGGACACCGCTCGTAATCAATGCGCCAAGGTATAGAAGTAGAACCAATTTTTTTTTACTGTTTGTTATATTACATTTTGGCGTATTAATTTATACATAAACGCAGGAGGATTTGTACTATCCGCATCCAAAGATTCAAGACTTTATGTGGAGTTGCTTGAAGAAATTGGGAGAGCCTCTTCTTGAGAGATGGCCATTTTCTAAGTTGAGAGACAGAGCTCTTCAGACAGTGATGCAGAACATTCACTATGAGGACCAAAACAGCCATTTTATTTGTATCGGTCCTGTCAACAAGGTAGGTTTTGTAGATATAGCTTTGTCTCAAATGTTTACTTATTATATTTTTCTGAGAGACAATGTTGTGTTGTTATTGGATTAAAGGTCTTGAATATGGTTTGCTGCTGGGTCGATGATCCAAATTCCGAAGCATTTAAATGCCATCTATCGCGGATCAAAGATTATTTGTGGGTGGCTGAAGATGGAATGAAAATGCAGGTTTGATCCCAA